AAAAAATAATAAAAATTTTTTACAAAATTCTGACCTAAAAGTACCAAAAGTAGCTCAAAAGTCAAAGATTAGTTCAAAATCATTTAACATAAGAAAAAAACAGACATATATTTTGAGCCCAGGAAAGGATCACTGCATAATTTGTCAGAAAAAAATGTTTCTGAACCAAAAAGCAAAGGCTTAATTATATTTTGTATAAACTTGGATTACACCATATCACATTACAAACCATTCATGTTTGATGAAATAAAACATGATCCTATCCAAAGGGAAGAAAGTTTACACTGAATATTTGGGTTCCTTATAATCAGAAATTTTATATAATAGTTTTTACTCTCTCCATTAACCTTTGTGCCAAACTACTGGGTCCATTCTAGCTATTGCAGAGCCTTTTATAGTGAAATGAGAAGTTTGCAATTTTCTTTCATTAGCAGTCTCTGATTATACTATATTATATTCTAAAACTGCCAAACCAACGCGTCGTTTTCAACTACAAGTTTTAAAAACACAAATTCCTCGGTTTGAAGTCAACTCTTATAGAGTTTTTTGGGTAGACTTTTCAATTCCCCCAGTTTATATAATGCTAGTTATTCTTCATATATACAAACATTTAAAGGGTTTTTTAAAAAAAAATTATAAAAAGCTTTTCATTTAGTAAATAAAACCGGTTACTTACCTAGGATGTTGATTCTGTGACATAATACCAGCTAATCAACATTAAAATTACAAATGTTACACTTAGCCTACAGAGTTCTTGAAAACCGAGTACCCAAGACTCTGCTCTGTGAAGGTTCTCAAGGTAGAAACCAAAAGTCCATGGAATAAATCCTCATTGGATGAGGGAACCAAATGTAGTTAAAATCATTTCAGACTAGGAATTAGAAGAGAGCAGTTCTGATCCCATGTTTGCCAATAATTCATCCTAATACTTTAAACAAATAAACACTTAGATTACAATTAAGAAAACTATCCTGACAATTTCTAAACTGTTCATTAACAGTGTAAAAAATTGTTTTGTGAATTATAAAGCTCTACAAAATACTCCTGGTCATGGAGTGATCGGTAGAGTGCTCGGCTACAAACCAAAAACTCTTGGTTCAAACCACCAGCCACTACACGGTATAAGGATGTGGCACCATACCTCAGCTGAAGCAAAGATTAACAGGGATGGAAATTCTGTAGAGCAGTTCTACTCCATACAAGAGGGTCTCTACAAGTCCAAAAGAGTATCTTAGCACTGAGGTGTTCTTATTTTGATAACATGCAAAATATGAAATTATCTTATCCAGGGCAGGATGAACCCTTTACTATCTTTTATCCCAGGGGGTGTTTCTGGCACCTTGCAAGAAATTTATTTCACCAACAGTGTAAGAATGTTCTCGGAAAATTAACTTGATTATTCACTGATAAACATTTTCTAGATGCAGTTTCTAATAAAAAGTATGATGCAAAAGAAGGGCATAAAACCAGTATTTGTAACATTTAAGAGAAACAAGTTTAAAGTTATATTTCTGGTAAATACTGTTAACATTTTTGAGAATTAAGTTTAAAGCTACTAGAGCAACTCTTACATGAGAAATAGCTATTTTATATTTTTGTTCCCTAAGAATTTAAAATTAAAACCATTAACAAACTGCTCTATATGAGTTAATGCAAAAGATCAAGAAACACTAAATCAAGCTTTACTCCTGCCATCATGAAAAATTACAATATTAAGGATTCTTAAATAAAATTCTCTATATAAGGCTCTTTAAATATAAATTTATTTACATATTCTTGCACGTTAAGAATACAAAGACCTAAGTCAATTCACATTTTCACTTTATATTTATTTTCCACTGATCAGGCTTGATTTAGAAGAAAAATGGAACACTAAAGTTTAGAACCCAAAATTATTCAAACTTACTCTCCCTAGAGCCAGAAATTCAAAACTTAAGAGCTCGAAATTTTCTAAACAGCAAAAGGTCATTATCTAAACAGAAAGGGCAACCTGCAATTAAGTTCATGATCTCGGGTCTGACAGGCAATTTAGGCCAAATAGTCACCAACAATTACCTACATTAGCAAAATACATCAACTATGAAGATGAAGTTATAAAAAGTGGGGGTTTTTATCTCCATCATCTTTGAAAGAGCTTGTCTAATAAAATAATCTATAGCTGAATTTTACTGGAGGGAAAAAATTATCTGTAATTATTCGCTCACAATGAAACTGGACAACTGGAAAAACATATGAAATAGCATTCTGGAGAATGACAAACTAAGAAGAGGAGGCTAAACAGTACTTCAGATGACTCCAGTCACAGCATCTTCTCATTTATAAGTAATTAGATGACTTTACATATGATAACCTTGATTCTTACAAAAAAGATGGATAAACGATAAGCTGAATGCTGTAGACAGATGTTTTTTAAATATTTAATGTTAACTTAGAAGCAACTGTTAATAACATATACTGGTATGCAAAGCTATTTCTTCCAATGTCAGTTCAAAATTATGTTCTGTGCAGAACATAATTGATAATTACTAATGGACTTTTAAAAGATAGTCACCAAGGAAATACAAATTCCTTACTAGTAGATACTAATTTTTAGGCTGTGCAACAACCAATCTTCTGTTTCAAAAGGTAATACATTATCTGAGTAACCTTTTAAACACAGGGGAAATATGTTAAGAGAAAAATTACTTGCTGCATTGTATATGTACATGTGTTTATGAGAGAATACTATAAAAACATTTTCAGACTTCCAGAAATTTACTTGTGCGAGAATGTATTATAAAGATAAGCATGATGCTTTTTTTTTTAAATGACAGATTAGATAAAAAGAGTCAACGTTCTATGCCAACATTTCGTAGCTTTAAACAAAAAGTACAGGTATAGAAGACTTGGGGGGAGAGTGTACAAGAGATTACATCTGACTCTGTAATCGTACACCTTTTCCCAATTCTATTAAATTAATCAAGATGTTCACGAAGATGGTATCTCTATCTTACTCCTCAACTGCTTTCTTGGTGAGGGAAGTGTGAGTGAGGGGAAAAAAAGTTTTTAAAATATTAAGGTCAAAAGTTGCCATCTTTCAAAGATTTGGAGCAAAAGAATAAGTTAACAATGAATGATTGATTTCTTTTGCCCAAAGCTGGTCAGTAATGTAAGATTATTGTGCAAACAAAACAATCAACATTCAGATTCTATATAACCAAAGGAACATATGAAAAAACCTTTATTGCTTTTATTCCCCAGAGGGTTCTAAACATGGAATATATTAATGGTCATGATGTCTAGATCATTTACTTATTCAACTATTATTCTTTAGAATTTACATCAGGATAGTGCATACAAAAAAATAGTCAATAACAACTTATTTTTAATATTTTCCATGAATAGCAGTATTAAGCCAAATTTAAAGAGTTCTTGGGGAAAGGAGGGAATAAAATAAAAGCAAATAGACCTACAGAATATTATTTTGCAAATATTAACTTTTTATTATTTAAGTTTGGATTATCAATTATACTTTTAAAAACTCTATTAATTATATGGATGGTAAGAACTCCAATTATTTCATTTCAGAAACCACCAACTCAGAGGTTTTTTGATATTTCAATCTCTTTTGAGATTTCAATCCAACATTTTACATAGTATCTGAAAATGCAATTTCACAGAAGGCAATTTAGAAAACATTCAGATAAAAGGATTATTATACCCAATACTAAAATTTCATTTAAAAGGGAGGCAAACCCAAAGGAAAATTTTAGACCTAATCTAAAGACCACCTTACAACCATATGCAAATCTGAGTGGTCTATAATATGGGGTGAAAAGAATATAATGGCCAACAAACTGGATCTGATGCACTGGTCTAACATGTAACGAGCTGTGACAATTGTCACAACAAAACCAATATAAACATCTCTCAGTTCAGAGCAGTAGTATGCATTCCATATAATCTTACTGTAATAATAATAATAATTTAAAAGCTTACTCCATAGTAGTAATAAAGGCAATCATCTATTTATTAAGTGTTTTGTACTGCTGATCATGCTATTTATAATGAGCACAATCTGTTGCAGTTACTTTCAGGATTATTTTGCTCTTTAGTGAGCTCAAATTCATCTGTCTCACTGCCCTGAATGCTTTAAAGGAAATTTAGTGAAAAATATGAAAGTAGAATTCTTTATTTAAAGGGTCTTTATGGCAAAGATTGAGAACTGAAATCTTAAGTTGTCCCCGTGAGTTCAGGAACAACAGACTACCTATTGCTAATATGATAATCAGTGCATACAACAAATTGTCATTAACATTAATGACATCTACTTTTGTAAGCAAGTCACAGAGTCAAAGATAATGCATGATACACATTTTTAAATAAAAAATTTAACTGGGGAAAGAAATATAAATAATTAAAAGTATGTTCCTATAAAATTTACCTAAAAAATACTGTTACTATTACCTTTGTTTCCACATGTAATTTTTATTCTAAATAAGACATATGAAATGTCAGAACTAAAAATACCATATTGTAATAAAGATAATTAAAGTGGAATTTTGCTTCTAAAAGTTGAGGAAATCATGTCAAATCTGTAATTTTTGCTTAAGTGTTAATTTTGGCAGTAACAAAATAAGCTATGAATAGATACAGAAAATTTGGGGAATAATAAACAAAGCAGAATTCATGGTTACCATATTTACACATACTCTTTGTTGTGTTTCAGTGCCACATGATCTGATTCAAAGTAATAAACATCAGGATCATCATCCTCCTCTTCTGTAATGTGCTGATTGGCACTCTCTTTGGCAGATGGTAAATGTCCAATATTGAGTCTTGCCTCTGAGGGTGGCTTACTTAGTCCTTCACTTTCATAATTTTCAGAGTCACAACATATCCCTTTTTCATTCTGGGAAATTTCATCAGGATTTGTCTGAGACTCACTTATATTATCACTAATAGCTGTATTGGTTTCATTGGGACTAAGATTATTCTCCTCAAGTTGTCCATTCTCTCTGCAAGGAGAATTACTTTTACTGGGACTACCTCTGGCAGGGGCGGCCCTTCGTGGTGAAGTTCTCAGGATATAGCGATGTTCTTGAGGTTCTGACAAAGACATCGTTTGAGCTGAAACACAGTCTAGAACAGATGATGGTTCTGGTTCTCCAGAGACTGGCATACTCTCAAGATTTGTGTCCAGGGTGTTATTGGTGTTTTCATTACATCGCTCTTTTGAGGCGTTGCTATCTCCCACCACATCTACTTCCTCCTCAGAATCCCTTAAAGATGACTGATTTTCAGGAAAAGGCCCTCCTGTTGCTGGCTCAGTAGTCAGCTGATTAACATGTTCCGCAGGCAGGCAGGCAGTTATTATTTTGTGGTCCTCCAACTTGACCTGCACTTCAGTATTTGTGCAAGGCACGTTATGGTCTATATAACTGTCCTCCTTCCTATCAAGGAACACTGAAGTCTGGGTATCCGAATCCCCATTTTCAGCTACTGATTTCTCCTGCAACACACAGGAACCAGTGCTACTTTGTTTAGTGTTCCTTTCAGGCTGACAGTCATCACAGTTTATAACAGCAGAATCACTGTCATCAACACCATTGACAGCCAAATAGCCCGTGATATCTTCAACTACTGCAGATTTAAGTGACCCTTCCTCACTGACATTCACCTTTTTAATTTCCCTTTTCTCACAATCATCCAGTAAAAGACATCGACAAGCTCTTTTAGTCCCTTGAAAATCTGCATCATTGTCCACTACTGTGCTCCTCTGTTCTACTGAATCTTTCTCTGATTTGATAGGTGAATCTTCTTCTGAACCGTTTGGTGCGTCAGATCTAAGACAACGCTTAATTCTTCTTAAAACTGGAGGAACAGGTTCTGTTTGCCTTCGCTCACAATTTTCTATTGCCTGCCTTTCTATATTATCCTTTTCTGAAGAAGAAAGTCCTTTTTTTCTAGGGCTTACCCACGATTCACGAGTACTCTGCTGTTTTAAGTCAGTGGTTCTTCCATTATTGTTGTTATTATTTCCTTTCTGAATTTGCACAGGTTCTGGTCTCTTCTTTGGTGATCTTGATCGTACTTGAGAATGAGAAGAAATTTCTTCAGGGTGAGCAATGCTACGATTCCTTAAAGTTCTACCACAAAAAGATTCATCCAAGCCGTTTAACCCCACTGTTGATCTTGTAACACGAGTAGATCGGGAAGCAGCCATACTATGGCAAGTCCCTACAATACGGTCATCATGATCCACTCATTGGGAAACCTTCAAAAATGTAAACAAAATAATGAGAAAAAGGTAATAGTTAATACACCTAAAACAAAAATATTCTATAATTTCTTAATCTAACCAATATTAATAAATTACACAGTATCATTTTTTCAAACATTTCCAATCATTCTAAAATAGCTAACATTTACATTGCATTTATCATGTTCCATGAACTATTTTATGTGCCTTCCATACATTAACTCAATTCTCACAACACAGTCAATATTATTATCCAAACTTTTAAAGGGGGGAGCACTCACACAGATGGTAACATGGCAAGATTATAGAGAGCATACTCTTGGGCTGCGTCTCAGATATATAAACAATGAATTCCCAGGAAAAATAATCTATCACAGAAATTGGGTTAATCTTGCTTATTAAAATTATAATCTTGGGTTCACATAGCAAGCAGCTCCACTACAGAAACTCAGCCAATAATTTTTCATTTTCTTCCCCCAAAACTCCCTGAAAGGTAGTAATATAGATTCTGCTTTTTAACTCTTTGCCCAAAATGAGCTTTGGTCAAAATCACTTGACAAATTATGTAGCATGTGTAAAAAAAAAATTGTTGCAGTGAAAACTTCTTTTTAACCAAGTTGATGGATCCTACTTTACATTTGCAAGCCAAACAGAGAAAAGCCAAGTCTTTCTAGTCTGTAGAAGCAGGGTCATGAATTAGCAAGTAAAAAAGAAAGCACTCTAAAGATGACAGAAGAAAATAAGAAAGCAGCCTCTAAAACCTTTACATTTAAAAAAAAAACAGGAAGACTCATATAACCCCACCCTTTCCTTATTCTAATTTTCATGCATGCTATTGTTTTAATCAGTAGCCTGGGAGATGAGCAGGCTTTCTGGTGTGGATACTTCGGGTTTCTAATATAAAACTGACAGGAAAATTGAAAAGTAACATGATTAATTCATTTGGCTAAACTCTTTTGTAGTCTACTTTAGTACAAATACTTTCCAAAAGTCTTTCCTATCAAACAGAATAAAGAGGTAATTACCATTTCAAATCTCCATTCCTCTACTCTTCTAGAATTTTGCTATGACAAGATGCTTTGCCAGTTCACTGATGTAATATAGTATAGGATGGTAACAGAAAACTTTAATAGCTCTAGTACAAAGCTTCATGGTATCTTTCTCTCTACAGTCATCTTGACCTCAGCCTCCATCTCGATTATATAACTCTCCAAACGTCAATCTCTTTCTCCATCTCAAATCAAACTCAAGTTCTCCTTTGCTTGAACTAGAAGTTATCTAACAGCAGAAAGGTTATGAAGAACTACAAAAGACAAGCAGCACACGACCACATTTAATACAAGAAAATGAATCACTAAAAGGCAACTGATTGCTTGTTCCTGCTTATGTGAGAAAAGTATTCTGTAAAATATTTAAATTAGTGAAACGGAATATTACTTCTGGGTACAGGTCTGTGCGTTGTTTTATTAGCAATTTTCAAGACATAAAAAACGAACCAGGGATAAGGATAAAGCTAGAGAATTCTCCAGGATCAAGTTAATAAGAAAATAGGATCAGAAGTTAAGATTACCTTTAAAAAAAAAAAGGCAACAAAACATCTCTCATCATTTTAGTATGTAATTGAGGGACCTGACATTCTCATTTGCTAAAATCTTTCCCCAAGTTTAAAGTCTATATATTTATATTCACAGGCAACAAAATACAAATTTCCTGTACATTTCTTGTCTAGTTACAAAAAATTTAAACTTCAAATGTGTTTCAAGGAGTAAAAGTAATTCACGTGAGTTCATGTCTGGAATTTTCAAACGTTGAGAAATATTAAATACCTATATAAATGTGCAAAAGAAATCTAATAACTAATTCTATAAACTTACAAAGTCTAATGCAAATATTTTTAAATATATACCTTAATTGTATTTATCACTTAAATGCATTGTTAAAGCAATACTGTTAAGAGAAGTATTTTATAAACACAAAAATCTTTTTACCTTTCCTTATTAAAATTCATTGTCACAGGCATATAAACAAATTTCTTCAATAGTTAAAGTTTAATAATAACCATTGTTAGTTTCTTTTTTTTTTCCAAACTAATCTGAGTGAGAGCAAAATTCTGCCCCAAGATATAAACTTTCTAAAGAGATGCTATATTGTATGAAATAAATTTATTAGTAGCACTAACATATCTAGGGAGTTCTGGTGGCTTAGTGGTAAGAAGTTAAAATGCCAACCCAAAGCCACAGTTCAAATCCTTGAGTTGCTTCTCTAAGAGATAGATGGGCAACATCCTTTCATGTGGTTTATAGTGTCTGAAAACAGACTAGAAGGTCACTTATGAGTCTGTTCCAATTCTATGACAGACAACAAGTAGTACTTAAAAAGAGTGGATCAGGTGGGGGGGGTGTTTGTGGATTTCCTGTGTATCACTACATAATATCATGTGTTTTAGTCCTTCACTATTTAGTGATTAAACTACCTAAATACTGATTAAAAAAAAGATTAAAAGTGTTTCTCTTGCTACTCAACAATTTTTCATTCCATTCCACAAGTACAAAGCACAAGTTTTAAGGTTCTCAAAGCCTCCGCTATTGGGCCAAATTTAAAGTGAATCTGATTTTAACAAGACCTTTTTGATATTTCATACATTGCAATTCAAATTAGGACCTGGATCACGGCCCTCAGATTCCTAGGTGATTCATATGAACAACAAAATTTAAGAAATACCACGTGTGACCACTGTATCCTACCATTTTCTCAAAACAGTCATTAAATGCCTTTTATTTCCTTATTTAATCTTAATAATAAAAGTAAAATAAAGTCATGATTCCTCTGACTCACAGTACCAGAGGACTTAGTTTAAAATCTCTCACCTAAAATTAACATATTGCAAGTACTAAAGTTAATAAATGAATTAAAATAATCGTAAGATTATAGTTTAATAAAGTAGTAGTACTTTTCCTACTGATAATTTTTCTATTCTTTCCTTCATATCTTTTATATTTTGGATAGGCTATAACTATCTAATAAAGCACCAAATTTAGTATTCAAAAGAGTCCTACTAAATGTCGCAGATATGTTTCTACACTGTTTGTCAAGTTTAACAAAGTATTATATATTAGTGTAGTTGTTTTCCTCATTTTAGCTACTACCTAAAAACAGCAACTGAAGAAATTCAGCAAAGAGGTTTTGAACACAAAATTATATTCCTGGCAAATATCAAGTTGTTAAGGGAAAAAATACATACTCATTTACAAACTAAGTATCATAGAAAACAGTCTTGCTAGTTTCTAAAGCCGGGGGCACATAGTGAAAATCTTAGCCAATAACCACCTGGAACTAGAAATATAATCTCTGTTTGAGAAGAAAGGGAAAACATTAGCTAACGTATTCATACTGTCAAAATCTAACCTAATAACCAGAGAGTAGTTATTCCTAAATTCTATCTATCAACAAATGAACATAGTACATAGAAGTGAGAGAATGTAGTCAATCAGCACAGCTGGAGATATTTCATTTTCTCTCTTCTCCACCCTAGTAAAAGTGTTCATCCTACTGGAGAGCATTATGTAAGTACAGCCAGTCAATCACATTTCATTGTACTGATTCACATAATGATCAAAATTCCACATATGCTGCCTACAAATTCACTATTGAGCTCTCCATCTCTAATGTAAATCCACTTTTACCTCAAATTTAACTACAGGATTCTGAAACTCTGACAGAGTATCAACTAAACTACAAACCAGATCATAATAAATCCCCAGTCACTGTGATCACATCTGAAAAACTGTATCATTAAGAATGGAAAGAAGTAAGGGAGCTCTGGTGGCCTAGTGGCAAGACACTGCACTGCAATCCCAGAAGTACACGGTTCAAAACCACCAGATGCTCTACTGGAGAAGGAGGGGGCAATCTCCTCCTGTACCAGTCAGATCTGATTTGACGGTACACATAAAATACAATAAAAATACAAAAAAAAAAAAAAAAAAGGAAAGAAGTAATAAAAACTAAAAAGGACCACCAAATAAAACATAGCTCTATTACTTAAGGAGGAGAACTGATGTCTTTGAGTTGTGGTGCTGGAGAAGAGTATTGAAGGTACCATGGACTGCTAGGAAAACAAACAGACTCATCCTGGAAAGAAAGGGTTAAACCGGGCTGATCCTTGGAGGCAAGGATTCTGAAGCTTCATCTAACATACTTTGGACATGTTGTAAGGATGGACCGGTCCTTGGAGAGGGACATCATGCTTGGGAAGGTGGAGGGATAGCACTGGAGGGGAAGGCCCTCTATGAGGTGGACTGATTCAGTGACTGGGGTAATTGGGATGGGTGTATCGGAGACAGTGCGATTGGCACAGGACAGAGGAAAGTTTAGGGATGCTATACATAGGGTCCCTATGAGTCGCAAGCGACTCGACAGCACATAACAACAACAACATTACTTAAGGGCAGGGAGATCTCAAAAAGATATTTCAAAGACACTCCAACTTGTAACCTTCTATTCCTACAATTACCAAAATGATATGATAAAATGGGAATTGAGGAGCTAGCTAGCAATCCTGTTAACATCAATGTTCTAGTTAGTAACACCACATTTTATCAAGTGAACTAGGCTTAAGAAACTAAACTGAAAAAACAGAAAACTCCAAGTGAAGGAAGGAGAAAAAAAAAGATCAAAAGCAACTGGAAAATGTTGCCAATACTTTTTTTCCTGCTTGTCTAGAATACAAAATTTCTTTTTCCCCCACCCTACCCTTTTGTGTGTATGTGTGTATGTGTGTGTGTGTGTGTGTGTGTGCAGTCACACAAAGACAGTTTCTTTTTATAGGGGCTGTTAGGAAGATGTAGAAGGGGTGGTAGTTTGCTCAGGAATTTGAGGCCCAGGGTCCTCTTGTCAATGCATGATGGAGGCCCATGGCCTTATCAGGATCTGGTTCTGTAATTGCCTTATCAGGAGATGGATAT